TTTTTTTTTTTTTTTTTTTTTTTTTTTTTTTGGGTCGAGAAGACTGGTAGCAATTTGAGACCAAAAGATCTCTCATCTTTGGAGAACTTGGCGATTGAATATGTATATGTTTTTGTCTAGTCGAAATTTGTCTTGGTGAAACTATCATTGAAACTAAATATAAAAATTACTAAAACGTTTATTCATTTCATCTTATTTTTTTTCTACTTTTCATCAGTTTCATTAAGTAAAATAATTTACGTTTGCTCAATATGCATTATCACTCTAATTGTGAAGCTATCGGATTATATATTTTATATAGCCCTTAATAAGTATCCACAATTGGTATGTTGACATGTAAATAAATACTTGAAATGTGTATTTAATACATAAAGATTGTCTCCATAGAATTTTGCATGCAAGCTAAGGCTACATCAATTCTCTCTCCCCGCAACTCCCACTCCCCCTTCCCTCCAATAAACCTAAATCGGCTGAGCAAGTGTCTCTTCCCCTAGCAGGGCCTCTAGGCCATCACATTGTCGGCCACCGGGTCGTGTGGCTGACTTTCAAAGGCTCGTCGGACTGGGGAATTTCCTCTTGTCGGCTGAGGCGGTGGATTCCCCCAGTTTGGTTTTCGCCTCCATTTAGGCCGCCAATGAGGGTCAAGGGCCGGTCGTTCCTCGGCGTTTGGGCGGCGAGAGTGTTTGGCGAATCTGCAAGAGAGGGTTGTGGCTTCAATTATCACTTTGGTGGTGGTCGGGGCTGAGATCGGGTCTGTTTCGCTACCCTCTCTTTTCCTGTCTTCTCTGCTTTTGGGCCGTTGGGTTGCACTAGCGGAGTCGAGTCGCAATCAGGTCTCATGTCTTGGGCCCAGGCCGTCGGGGTAGGGGAGGTGGAGTATGTTGTGGATCTCCGATTGCGGGTCTAGGTGTTGTCTCCGGGCGGGGTCTTTTAGTCTCAGATCTAGTTATGCGTTTATTCTGCAAATTTTGGCTTAGCGACTTGGACCGAGTCATTGTCCGTGTGGGTGTCGGCGTTGTTTTGTTTGTTTTGGCTTCGTTGTTGTGGGAAGAGCTTTAGTTTAATATTTCTATGTTTTTGTTGTTGTGTTTGTGTTGTGCTGTAAGTGTGCGTTTGTGTCTTTTTCTCCGTCTAGGAGTTTCTATTCTCTTGTTGGGGAGTGTATATTCTTCTGTTGGAGAGTCTTGTGTGTTTGTATTGTTGTGTTGTTACATCTAGGCTATCTTTCGTAAGCCTACCCCATTCGACTATTCAGCCGGTTGTAATTACATGTTCTATTAATGAATTCTATAGTCTCGAAAAAAAATAGAATTCTGTACGTATTCACATTACCAACCATAGGTATGTTCATGGGCCTTTTTTTTTTGGTTTAATTGTATAAGGTGGAATTCACAATAGGGAGTGAGAAATTCAAATGTCAACATTTTTTTGAATTTCTCAACTCCCCATTGTGACAACATAGGCATTTTTTAATGGTAAAAGCCAAAAAATGTTTAAAGTTTGTTAGTGTCATTTGGAAAGTTGTCCACCACCACCTTTTCAACCCCGCCACCACCTTGTCGTCGGTCGACAGCCCCAGCTCCGGCACATGCGCCTGTGCCGAATTCCAGCAGCTCCCTGGCGGGCTTGTTTCATCGGTCAGAATCCTTGGGCCCAAGCCAGATACTCCTTCAGGCCTTGTTTTGTCGGCCTGCGATATCTCATCAACGACCACCAGAATCCCTTTGACTGGTCTTCTCCCGACAGGCATCTCTCTGGGCCTTTCCTCGGCTCCCGTTTCCTCTCCTACTCCTTTCGAGGCACCTCCGGTCGCAGCTTCCACGGGTCCCCGTTCTTTTGAGGACGTGATCACCGACAAATCTGTCGGTGTGATAGACCATCAGAGATTCATCTTTGATAGCTATCAGGACAACCCCCGTGGGTCTATTTCTCGCTCCGAGGAGGGTCGGCACAAGTAAGTCTCCCTAATCCCAATGTTTCCTCTCGTTGAGTCGTATGACAAAACCATGATTTTTGAGTATTCTCATACCGTCCCTCTCCTTCGAGATTTATTTGTTGGATTAAGAAAACTAGGATATAAGGGTAGTGCCATACCTCAGTACTATAATTTTAAACCTTAAATTGTCACTTTTGAGCTGAAAGATGACTATAATATGGCGTGGCTTAAGACGAAAACTTTCTTTTGAGGGTGCACCGCTAGGGTGTTTTAATACACCCCCAATTTCTCTCCATCGACTGAGGCACCTCTCACCCCAGTTTGGTGTCAGCTCCCTGGTCTTCTTCCCCATCTTTATGATCTTTCTATTCTGTTTTCTATTGCTAGTTGCATCAGCAACACAATTGAGGTTGATGCAACCATGACCACTTGATCGAGGATATCCGTCGCAGGCATGTACGTCGAGATAGACCTCCGATATGAGCTCGTCCATGAGATCGATCTCGATCAGGTAGGGACGAACGCCATTTAGAAGGTGATCTACGATAGATTTCCGTCTTTCTTTACCTTGAGTGACCACATGGGCCACGCTGGGGTTGACTGATACATTAGGGGCAACAAGCCCTGTCCAACACTCTTGCCGCGTCGTCCGGCCGCCAGATTGAGACCCCAACTATTACGGGGGATCCCAAGGTAAAGGAGAAGGCTCATGGCTGCTTGCCTGAGTCTCCAAAGAGGACCAAGGACAAAGGTAAAGCTTTGTGGAGACCTCCGTTCAGTCAGAAAAGGCTATGATGCCTGACAGGCCCAAGACCACAAGTTTCTTTCCTTCTCAGACCCTCCACCCGACCATTAAGGCCGAACATTCGTACTTTGTTGTTCTCTCCCCCATGCCCTCTCCCTCCACTAGCCTCCCTCTCGACGATGATGACCTCCTAGATGATGAGACTGATCAGCCGGACACCTATATGAGTGATGAGTTACCCTCTCTCACGATGACAACTCACATGATGTGGTTTCGTCCAGTGAGCACATCGCTTTTGAGGAGGGATATCAGGGATCCCTTCCCACTCGAAGGCTCGTCAGACTGGGCAACTTCCTCTTATCGGGTGAGGCGGTGGATTCCCCTAATTCGGGTTTCTCCTCTATTTAGGTCGCCAAGAGGGTCAAGGGCCGACGGTTCCTCGACTTATGGGCGGCGAGAGTTTCTGGCAATGATGCAAGAGAGGGTCGTGGCTTCAATTATCACTTTGTTGGTGGTCGGGGCTGAGATCGGGTCTATTTTGCTACCCTCTCTTTTCTTATCTTCTTTGGTTTTGGGTGGTTAGGTTGTTAGCTGAGTCTAGTCGGGGTCGAGTCTCATGTGCTAGCCCCGGGTTGTCGGGGTACGGGAGGTATAGTATGTTGTGGATCTCCAATTACGGGTCTAGGTGTTGTCTCTGGGCGAGGGACGAGGTCTTTTAGTCTCAGATCTAGTTAGGCGTTTTGATATGCGATATATACCTTTGCCTAGTCTGGTTGATGGGAAAGGAAAAAATTGGATGAACTGGCCTAGTCGAACAGAGTATACACTGATCGATAGAGGGCAGAGATCAGGGCTACGCGAATTTAAGAAACACCTGACAGATTCTAGCTTTACAGAAGACCTGGTCGAAGTACTAGGCGGTCGAGCATGAATGGTCGTGAGATCGACCATCAGTAACGCCAGAGGATGCTTAATAACTTGCTCAGATCTGGTCGATCACAGGAGCCTCCAAGGGAATCTTTGAGACATGTGCGCGGGACATGTAGCGCGAGCTAATTGGTCCACACTAATAACCGCTTCTGACACATTCCTGACACACCTACCTAGAGGTTGCACTAACGAGCAGGGCGGGCAGCCCTATGGCAGCCAACTCACCAATCTCGGGCAGCTTCTAGAACAGGTATCTCATCCCTATATATAGGGGTGAGCCTTATGAATTTGACATAATCTCTCATATTTTCACTATCATTTACCATATTTCTGAAGACTGACTTGAGCGTTGGAGGCTCTCCACTGGAAAACCCCTCCGGTGTGAGAGTTCCGTGCAGGTTTTGGCATTCTACCGGTAAGGATAGCAAGACGAAGGTGGTTCTCAGCCGGTTGGGGCGTTACATCTGTATTATTGGCACCATCAGTAGGACTCTGTTCAAAAAGTTGTACGTGTTGTGTAGCCATGGCGGACAAAATTCTGCGTGTTAACTTACAACCATCGTTTGATGAGGTGTGGACGACGACTAGACCGTTCGGAGCAGGCCCTCCTTCAGGTTTCTCTATACTGTTGCAAATGCCAATGACCCCGATACCTGCACCGCAAGGTTTAAGGGGACCATCAACGGCCTCAGTGGTGGAGGAGAGTACGAGCCGAGAACAAGAAGCTCGCATAGCAACAGCAGAGGTTCTTGCACCGTTGCAAGCAGATCTGTCCAGGTCGCAACAGGAAGGACCAGCGAGGCAGATGGTGGTGCTGCCT